TATATGTTTACAAATCACAGTTATGTTTCATAAAATATATTTCATAATATGTGTGCTTATTCCGTAATGTATATTTATCGTTTGTCAGCATTTGCTAAATATTACTAATATATTATTTACGTTTAAAACAGTGAAATTAAAGTGAGATAAAATACAAGGAATGACGAATCTGCAAAAATGTATTTATAAACATGATTTACATTTCGATCAAGTGTGTGGTATTATAGTTTGCATACAAAGACGATATTCCACGAAACAAATATTTTATCTTTATGTGAATAAAAAAAAACAATCACTTACCTCTGTATGAGAGGGTAAATGAATCTGATCTTCCAATAGATGGGAATACCTGTGTTATTTTCGTAGACAGGTACTCGTAGCTTGTGGATGCACCCTGATCCACAGCAAATCGACGAATTTCTTGACTGTCGTCGGCAGTCTGCAAATATGCTTTCACTGAAATAGACATGTTCATACTGCAGGGAAAAGGAAAACAAGTTAATACACTCAGGTTATTAAGTTATGGAGATTGTCGTCTGGAAATTACCGTGACGGATGAAGGCACATGACAATGACATATATATCGTAATAGAATCGTAGTGATCGTAAAAATTGACAAACATAGTCTAGAAATACGACCATACATATCGTTGGCTGAACTAAGAAATGATGTAAATAAACAACAGCAAAGTGTCCGGACGAGGTGATGTACCTGTAGCTGTTTTCTCCCGTCGAATGATTTTTTCGCACTGTATTGGCAATAATAGTCTTCTTTGAGATGCTTGTCTGTATGCTTGTCATCAGTAGTAATAGTTTCTGGAGGTTGGATCTGATGTATTTATACACAAATATAGAGAACCAGATGGTTCCAAATTACTAAATCGTGAAGATGAGTCACACAAACAAATTGCCCAATACCCATCTCTCGGATCGGCTCTCTGAACACGTAAGCGCGCGATTATTTGTTACCATGGCTACGCATGTGCACCTACGTTTTTAATATAGCCACTGCTATTAAATTTAGCTATACTCTTGACAGAGGGCCACATGCCTCCAAACACATGGCGTTGTTGTAAATGTCAATCATGACATCATGTGCTATTTTTAGTATTTCGTAATATCTCGTGTACAGATAATCTATCTGACTATCTGATTGGCTAATGAAGGGGTTATTTCGCAATTGCCATGGTGCCAGTCGATGACTCATCTGCCAAATTTAGCAATTTGGGGTCAAGTGTTTGCCTAAATTTGTGTATAAATTCTGCTGATCCTACCTTGGGAAATTATTAATATGATGACGAATCACAAGATAAACACTTCAAAGAAGACGATTATTTCCAATACATCGATGGAAAACGATCATTCTACGAGAGAAAACAGCAACAGGTTCGTATTGATGCGCTGATGAACGCATTCCTTCATTTCGTATGACAAATATTCTTTCCTAATATCAGTCGATCGTTTTCTTCGGGTGAAATGGACATAAACACAACTTGTCTCTCATCGCTGTTTGTTTCGCTCTCTCCGCAGTATAAACATGTCTATTACAGTGAAAGCATATTTGCAGACTGCCGACGACAGTCAAGAAATTCGTCGATTTGCTGTGGATCAGGGTGCATCCACAAGCTACGAGTACCTGTCTACGAAAATAACACAGGTATTCCCATCTATTGGAAGATCGGATTCGTTCACACTCTCGTACAGAGGTAAGCATTTTATTATTACATCACTTTTCTGCATTCCATTCGCAACGACTCGGTAACCGAATATATGACACACTAATAGGCGTGTTTAAAATAAATATTTGCAGATTTTCATATTTTATTTGTATTTCATAATTTGCCGTTATTACAATTATAGATAGTTATAAAAAATTATATTACATTGTATCGAAACAACTGATTAAATAGTAAATACGAAATTGTAGCAATTGTAACAAAACATGTATAGTAACGCGA